TAAAACGTTACTCATAGTAACGTTTTAGGTGTAAAACGTTACTCACAGTAACGTTTATTCATTTAACGTCGTCAGCTCCGTTAGTTTTTGTCCGTTGAATTTTTAAAATAAAAATAACCTAAAACGTTACCATGAAGTACGTTTATACTACTTTTGTAAAAAATTTAAAAAGCGTATTAGTTTGGTGAATTGGTTTTTAAAATAGCTTATTTTGGTCAATGCTTCTGTAATTACTAGTATTAGTCAACATTATATTGGTTCAGTAGTTATAAGTTAACTGCAGTGTTCTCAGTACCTTCCATGGAGGAAACTTAGCTAGAAAAATAGGTGAAATTCTAATTCGACAAGGACTGAAACCGACCTTGCTCTGATACCATAACAAAACCTCACAACAGAGGTGTATACCTAGAACAGGGAAGCCATAATTGGCAATTGAAGGAGAGCAATTCACGAGATCTGAACTTTGAGAAAATGAAAACTCGCACTTTCTCTATTGATATCACACATGGATAATATGTTGACACTTGACAGTTGTGTCCAACTAAGCAAAATAGGAAGAAAATATCCTAACTAACTTCTTGACACTCTAACCGACTTACTGACCACTGCAGTTAACTAACTACTGAACTAACCAATGCTGACTAATACTAACTAATACTAGTTACAGTATAATTAGTTAATAAGTGTTAATAGGACTTTTCAACATATTTTCTTACGTCAATGTTATCATAATTGGGAGTAAGGAATTACGGTCAGTTTGTTTACACTTGTAGGTTACCATTAACATTTCCTTTCATTTCAAATTACTTATTTGATTTTAATTCGACATCAAGTTTTAAAAAGTAAAGAATATTTTGAATTCTATGATATTAAACTAAAGATATATAGAATGTATCAAAAATTTTATTAATCTTGTTATTAAACATGTGATGTGAAAAGTTTAATGTACCAAGATGCATGTCCTTTAATCTTGTGATCTTAATCATATATATGACATGGAAAGTTGGAATTAATTAATAGTTATCAAAAAGGGAAATGCATTTTTATAAACAAACTAAAACGGAAAAACAAGAAAAACAGATTAAAATAAGGGGAAACTAAGCAAATCCCCCATAAAAACAAAATAATTACAAACATATATATATCCATTTACATTCATACCTCACTAAATAATTACACTATATATGCCCCAACTAATTTCGTTTAACTAATACTAAATCAGTATCATATAGTATCATTGACTAATGAGTAATTTCTGAAAAAGAAACATTAATGTTACCACAACAATATACATATATTCTTATAGTACCATTGATTAATGAGTAATTTCTGAACAAGAAACCTTAATGATACCAATGCAATA